CTTCGCAACAATTTACCATAATTAAAATTTAGAACTTCGATTAATTTCGATTAACCAATAGAATTTTTACTATATCATGGTTGATCTACAAAAATTGGCCAATCAAAATAAAAGCCCGCTATGTTTTATTATAATAAATAAATATTTATATTTATGAATATATGTTTTTTATATAATAATGAACTAAGAAAAAGCTCTAAAATACATAAAGTGATTCTTTCAAAAAAAATTAGACCACCAGTCTATCCTAGAACCGGGCCAGTACTGTCTTTTTTGGAATGACCAAAAAACTGTCGCTCCTAATATCAGTTATTATTAAAGCATTGTTATAGATACATATAAATTTTAATCTAATTTTGCGATTTTATGATATTTGATCTGATACTAAATTTAGACCAAGTACATAAATAAAATATTTAATTATAATAATGAAAAAACTTTTATTAAGTTTATATAAAGTCATATGTTAAGCAATGAATACTAAATAGCGCTTACATATAACTGTTCTGAATTCGGAAAACACAAATTTCTTTAGCGTGAATTAAGTACATGCATAATTAAATCAATATATGTGGTAGCTTTTTCAATCAAAATACTAATTTAGTTAGATGTTTAATGACCATAATTCAGAATGATCGTTAAGAATCTTAACGATCACAATTCAGTAATTGCAAAATTAATTGTTAAGAATCTTAACGATTATAATTTTGCAATCGCAGAAGTAATCATTAACAATCTTAATGATCATAATTTAAAATTACATAATTATGATTGTTAAGAATCTTAATGATTAATTTTGCAATTGCTAAATTGTTCCTTAAGATTCTTAACGATCAAGTTTTTTTTATTTTTAAGGGAAGATTTTCGCAAGAACAGATAAGAAGTTTTAAGTTGTTTGAAAAACTTATTCTGGAAAGTGGCGTTACTAAGTTTACTACTTTGGTTTATTCTCATTTTAAAGATTCAGAAATTCAGACAAGTGTAAAGAAGATCAATGCATTGCTTAGTGAAAGCAATATAATTAGAGAGATAATTAAGTCATACAACAGTATTATACATGTAGATAATTCACCAATACCAGTGATAGTGCGGGAAGATAATCAGCAAGAAATAGAAAAAAAAACAAAGAAAATTTCCATAAGTGAAAATAAAAGAAAAAAAGGAAGGGAAAAAGTGCTAAAACATTTAGAAGAAAAACGTCAAGAATGTCAACAAAAGTACGAAGAAGAAGCTTATAAATTAAAAGAATGAGATAATATATATTCCATAGTGGCAAAACATCTCGAAGGGGAAAAAGAAATAAATGAAAAAACCAAAAATGAAGTAATTGCGGAAATAAAAATAAGACTTAATTCTGCAATTGTTAAAATGTGATTATTAAGACTCTTAACGATTAATTTTGCAATTGCTGAATTGTGATCGTTAAGATTCTTAATGATTAATTCTGCAACTGCTGAATTATGATCTTTAAAATTCTTAACAATTAATTCTAAATTGCTGAATTATTGCATTAAAATTCTTACATATTAATTCAGAATTGCAGAATTATGATCGTTAAGAATCTTAACGATCACAATTCAGCAATTGCAAAATTAATCGTTAAGAATCTTAACGATC